AAAAACAACCCAAAAAACAAAAACCAAAACACCCAGCTGTGGTGACTCACACCTGTAATCCCAGCATGTTGGGAGACCAAGGCAGGTGGATCACAAGGTCCGGAGTTCGAGACCAACCTGACCAACATAGTGAAACCCTGTCTCTACTAAAAATACAAAAATTAGCCGGGCATGGTGGTACAAGCCCTTCATCCCAGCTACTTGGGAGGCTGAGGCAGGAGAATCGTTTGAACCTGGGAGGCGGAGGTTGCAGTGAGCCGAGATCACGCCATTGCATTCCAGCCTGGGCAATAAGAGCGAAACTCCGTCTCAAAAAATAAAGAAATATAATAAAATAAATAAAGCGAACTAGCGAGTTGGGGAGGGGTTTACAGTTTTAAAGAAAGTGGGTATGGGAGGTTCTTTGGCAAGAGGCCTATTACAGGAAGTAGGTGAGGGTAAAGAGCTGTGGGGACATCTGAGGCAACAGCATTCCAGGCAGAGGACACAGCCCGTGCAAAGGCCCTGGGGCAGGACCACGCCTGGAGTTAAGGAACAGTGAGGAGGCCTGGGTGGCTGCAGCAGAGTGGGGAGGGAGAGAGAGGGAGGAGGGAAGGAGGACGGAAAGTAAAGGGCATCTTCATGTATGCATTCACCCCACCCAGGCTTGGCCCCATGCCCGAATCTCCTCAGCCTCCTAACCTGCTGCCTCCGTTCCTTGTGCTGTTCCAGGCCCCGGATCTTCTGCAGGAGGCGGCCCCTCTCCTGTCGCAGCCTCACGATCTCCTCATAGGCATCCTGGTCATCCTGCTCCCCTCCCCGCCCACTATCTTTAGACAGGGCCTAGGGCTGCCCCATCCCAGGTCTGAGTCAGAGCTCCTCCCCACGCCCGAGGCTTCCCACTCCTACTCCCACGCCCAGAGCGTCTCTCACCGGCACGGGGATGCTGGCGGGAGGTGGAGGCGCCTTCCGTTTCTTAGGGGCCCCCTGCTTTCCATGGCTGGACATAGAATTCTGGGAAGGGAGGGGGGAGAGGGTGAAGGGGGTGGATTGGGGGGCCATGCCAGCCTCCCCTGCAATAAACCAACCCAGCCAGCCCCAGCCATGCCCTGACTTCCATGAATGCTGACCCGGTCCCTGCCTCCTCCCTCTTCCTTATTCCAGCATAAACGCAGACAAGACCACCGCGCTGTAAGTTCCCGATCTTACTCTTCACTCTCTGCCTCAGTTCCTTCCCCAGCCAGACCACAGTGCCCTCATGTTTTCACTCCTCTGTGGGGCAGAGATGCTTTAAAACTAGGAGAGGGGCCGGGCGGGTGACTCACACCTGTAATCCCAGCACTTTGGGAGGCCAGGGCGGGTGGGTCACTTGAGGTCAGGAGTTCCAGAGCAGCCTGGACAGCATATAGTGAAACCCCATCTCTACTAAAAAATACAAAAATTAGCTGGGTGTGATGGCACACACCTGTAGTCTCAGCTACTCAGGAAACTGAGGCAGGAGAATCACTTGAACCCGGGAGGTGGAGGTTGCAGTGAGC